TTTCAAAGTCATGGTGGCATTTATTTAGCCGATAATAATTTTCAAAACGGATTTCGAATGAGTAGCCATTGAATCTACATAATAACTTAGGAAAAACCATCCAGCGCTTCAGAAGGAAAAAGACCAGAAGAAGAAGAGTTAAGTACAGAAAATCAAGAAACGACTGAAATAAAGTTTAATAGTTTGGTTAAAAGTGTTCTACTCTATGCAGTAGAATTCTGGGGGTGTACAGAGTTTGAAGAGGTAGAGAAAATCCAAGAAAGATAGTTGAAATGGACACTAGTCTTGATGAAGAAACACCAGGGTATATAGAGAAGGAAGAAATGAAAAAGAAAAAATTACCAAGATCCCGAATAAAGGATTGTAATTGGCCGTTTATTGCTGTCTGCTCTTTCTAACAAAATAGTATAAACTACATAAACGTAATACACATTAATGAATAAATAATACACCACCATATAAAATTAAGAGGAGTTTTGACATAATTAATCACATAAAAAACAACAAAACAAAAAATAAAATATACTTTCTTTTTAAACTGAATTAGAAAAAATTGTAAATAAGTTATTTTATTACATACATTCAGTTCAGTTGCGCCCAGATCTCCTAAAATATTCACGTTAAACAACAGTTTAAACCAAAAGATGATAAAAGCACATATTAATAAATTATTTCGTGCTCACAATTCTCCAACTATTCAACAATTCTACAAATCCAACCGATTATTATTATAATACATTTCCTATGTTTATTATCGATCATCATCTCTCTATTAAAAAGAATATTCCAGTTTAGTAGACAGTATTTGAACGCAGAATACAGAACACAAGCGACATTAATGTCAAAGAAGAAAATGAAAACACAGTGATTAACATGTAATGACCGAAGAAAAATTGAGCGAATTAATGAGATTATTTTACCAATGGCATTTTTTACATCTCCTTCCAGAGGAAGTTATGATCTAGCAATATATTTGTGTTTTCTCGATTTACTGACGTGTAGTTTTTTGTCGTCCTGTGACGATTATCGACTACTATAATACTGTACTCCGGCGATTGTTTCCATACGTGTAAGTCTCTGTTCTTATCAACACATTGTATTATTCAATATTATAATCTGGATTTCTTTATAACACACCAAAAATTGAATAGGATATGTTGGTTCTGTAGGTATTTCAGAAGTATTTTTTATCTGTCTCACTTTAATTTTTAGTTTTTTAAATTTTATTCCAAACCACATTTAAGACGCTTAATTTTATCAAAAGAGTTAGAAGTTGCTGAGATACCAAATTGAATGCTACTCTTAGTTTGCTTAAAGAAGATCTCCGAAAATGAATATTCCACCAAAACCGAGTTGCCAAACCGGCAAAAAAAATACATCTCCAATGATGAAACCGTTTTATTTAATGACATTCGGTTTTGTACAACGAACTACCACAAAAATTATTTTAAAATTTGTTTTCATATTCTACATTTTGCTACTGTGTATTTTCGTCATCTCGCTACTGTTAACGTTTGACAGTAACTTGCTTATAGAAAATGCCGCAATAGCAACACTTGGAACAAACGTATGTCAATATCTTCTCGCATATCGTTTACTTGACTCAAAATTTCAGCATCTTTATGTCACCTGGGTAATATTAGCCTTTGAGAAAACGTTTTCTAAAATTTTATCAGAAATAGCATCACCAAAAAATTGGGACGACATGTTCACCACAGAAATCAACAGTAGGATCACCACAGAGTCCCGAATAATCACTTTTTACGAAATATGGACATTAACTTCGTTTTTAATGTTCTCTGTTGAGTGCTGGCCAGTTTATAATTTATCTGGGAATACCTTTGATGGATTTGGGTTGTTGGAAAACATTTTTGGTCCAGTTTCGAATATAGTAATTTCAGCAATTTATTTAACATTTCCTGTTATTGGTTACGCTGGATTTACTGGCGGTGGTCTCATAATATACACTATCTTTAATTTAAAATTTTATGTGTATTGCATATCTCATCGGTTGAAGGAGTTATCTGAAAAAAACATATGCGAATATGATGACTCGGATGAGTTTCAAATGGAAGTATTTTCAGATTTGAAAACGTGTATACAGTGCCATCAACTTGTACAAGTGTAAGCAGTGTATGTTTAGACGATTATCTTGTTGAAGTCGTAACGTTGTTTTTACTGTTTTGTTTCTGCAGGCGATATTTTTATTAAAATATTTATACTTTTAGTGCAGTAAAGAAATTAAATGATGCTATCTATTTACCGATCATTGTGCTTATAATACTTGGAATGATGGTAGTAGTCGGTGCTCTGTTCGACAGTTCACTAGTAAGTATTTTCTGATCCATAACTTTAAATTTAGAACAACAAAAAAACTTTTAGTACGAAATAGAAACAGCTGGTAATTACATATTTATGCTTCATTACGTAGTAGTCTCAACCACGATTCCCACTGTAATGACTTATGCTGCACAAACATTTTTAAATGAGGTATGGAATGTGTATAAATTGGGTGTGCCAGATTTTGTTTGTGAGGCAATATTCTGCTTACTATTAACCTGATCCTTCTCTGTTAATTTACAATATTTCCACTGATCTTTCGGCTTTCCACTGAAATTCTTAATATCCACTAAAATTTATAGTTTTCGACTTGATATCCTTTAATGATTACAAGACTCAAAGGGTTCCCGAGATTCTTTCAAATAGTTCAAAAATGAAAAAGGGAGCCTCGGAGATTCTTTCAAATTACTTCAAAAACAAGATACCAGAATCTGGGGATTTTCTTTCAAACTGCTTTAAAAACAGTAGCAGGTACACAGAAAGATCCCGGAAAACTGGAATCACCAGTAGCTGTGTTGTAGAGCTGGTTCAGAGGTCCCAACCGCCCCTGATTGTCTTAACAAAAACATAATTTGAGACGCCCAGTATCGTGCACGTTTTTTTGTTAGTGTATTTTTCTGCAGCACGAAAAAATTTCTTTTAACCTGGTAAACTGTCCATGGTTGGAGTGGAATTCGAGAAATAAAACTATGATGTTAATATTCTTACAAAACACCCAGAAATCTGCATACATTGGACACAAAGAAATAATTCGTGTTGAGTCTAGTTTCGCACCAAAAGTGAGAAAATAGTCAATTTAAGTTTTTTGTAATGACGCCTTCTTAAGGTCTTCAAATTTCTTTGGAGTGCAACGGTGTTTTTTGTCAAAATTGTGAAGAAATGAGGACAGCAAAAATTAAGCCTTGTTATTACTAAGATGATTTAGCCACTAAATTGTAGATCTTCTCATTCTGTATTGTACTGGTACATGTTCACAGTATTCAAAAAAATAAATCTGAAAAAAAATTTTGCTTTTAATGCCAGTATTAAATCAATGACTATTAATGTTTGTAATTTTTTTGTCAAGTTGTTGACCTATTTAAAATTTTATGATGGTATGCCTGATTCTCAAAGTGACAGTTAAATATTCGGAGAATCCATGGAGGAAGGAATATAATGGAGGGAGTGAGAGTTCAAATAAGTGATCCCGCGCCAAAATGCGTGAAAGCAATAAAAGGTGCTTCAATATGGCTGCCGCTTCAGTGGCGTATCTTAATAGTATTCATAAGGGGTCCCACTACTCAAAATTATATTCAATGCAAATATTTTTTTTAGAATATCTAAAATTTGAATTTTACTCATAGAAATTTATTTTGTATAATTATAATCAACAAAAAACCCAAATTCACAGCAAAGTTTTAATTTTTGCTGCATAATTGTTGCGAGATCTTTGGAATAACATTTAAGGAGATAATATTATAAAGAAAAAACATTAGCCAAGAATAATAAAATCATTATATAAAATTATAAATGACTGGTAGTTACGCTAAGGTTTTGGGGATAGGGTGAGGTTAAAGAATAACAGACGAATTTGTATATGTTGTAATTCTAGAAGCTCGATTTTTTTTTTATTAATCCAATCAATGCATATCATTACTTGGTCTTAGTACCAGTAATCATAGAAATGTTGCCTCAATGCCAGTCATTTTCGGGTTAGCGGTGGGTCTTAAAATAATTTTATTAAAAGGCAGTAAGAGAACTGTACTTTATAATTTGTATAATAATTAATATTAATTTACAAATATGTACTAGATAATAATAACATAAATAACATATATGTTTTTATAGGGTATTAAAAGAATACAATATTACAAAATAAAGATAAATTCACTTAAAGGAAATACATACAATTTAAATAAAAAGAATACAGGATTACTACAAAGATGAGTTCGTTTCAACTAAAGGTTTGATACTTTTCTGAAAAATAGTATAAGAATAAAAAATATATATATAAGAAGAAACAAAGTAAAACGTCAACTGTTTTAGTAAACCTAATTTTTGCTCACTATTTAAAGAATGGCTTAAAAAGTAACGCACGGGGATTTTCCAAGAGCCATTTATAGCAACCAGCATGAAAACTAAAGCTTCTTTGGCCTCTTCATTTTCATTTACTTCGATTATACTACCCATATCAGCATATCCATAATATTGTTGCCCATCATATTCAATGCAGCGTTTAATAGCAACTTCATCGAACACTAAAGAACACACAATTTTACGTTCTTCAGCCTTTGCTTTTAACACATCGAATGCCTCACTTGTGAAACCTGGTGCACCATTCACTGAAGAATACCATACAGACAAAGTTTTTGGGTGTGGAAGACAGTCCATGAATTGTTTTCTTATAAAAGAAAAAGCCTTTGGGGAGTAGAAATGTGTTGTAACGGCAAATTTTCTTATTTCTGGCCCATATTGATTTGGCAATGGTTTGTTGTTAATTTTAGCCCACATTCTGCTCAACAGTTCTGTATTTTCCTGAAATTTATTAACATCCACACTGTTGTTTTCATAATAGTTGATTTTCTTCCTTAAACTTGAAACAACATCTTTCAGATTACAAATTTTGCGTTGCTGTTTTGAGGTTCTGCGTTTTAACGTTTTAATAGTGAATTTTTGTTGTGACACTAATGTCTTCAGGTTGTTAATTTGTTGTTTCAGTAAAACGTTTGCACATGTTTTTGTTGTTAAATTTTCAAGTTTCTTTGTAATTTCAAAAACTTTATTAGACAATTCATCTTCTATATTCTGTTGAGGCTCTACCGAAGGTGCGTCACAAACTTCTGTGTGATGCGTTTCATTGCCTCTAAAGGTCACTACATTGGTAATCTAAAATAAATATATGTATTAATTGTTATATCATGCAGCATGTGAGTTTATTTAATACCCTTTCTTCATAAGTATAAGAAATAGTTGGTACTGAATGTGGTCTTAAAACTACTTTCTGGGCTGATGTTCTATCAAAACACTTTTCTTCAAAATGAAATGAACACAGGAAAAAGTTGTTCACAGACACAGAATTTCCTAGGTGAAGATAAAGGAAGTCTGTCCACAGTTTCTTTAATTCAGGTTTCTGGGGACACCTAAAAGCAATTCAAAAATATTCATTAGTCCCTCTTAAGCAAATATTAAACGAAAAAATACGACACACCTGTGAAACGTTATTTTTTCTCTACCAATTGTTGACCTGGAGCCACTCGTAACTTTACACAATTTGCAACTAACCATTTTAAGTTTTTAAATAAACATGAAACGCTTATCGCAAATTCAAAACAAAACGTTCACACTAAACACGAGGTTAAAAGCGAAAATGACAAAAACAGAATCGTACGACACTGGTCAGTGCTGGCTGATGAAATTATTAAAGTAAGCATGCGCGGTGAAGGGCGCGCTAATTGAAAAGAGTAATAAAAGGTGCTTGCACTGGTGCCAAGAATTTACATTGCCGAGATACGGCGCACTCCCTCCATTATATTCCTTCCTCCATGGGAGAATCTAAGCAAGTTTAACCTCACAAGGTGCTAGATTTAAGTCTGTTCGAAAAACGAGCGCAGGTTCGAATCCTACACCTGACACTGTAGTTGACTTTTTTCTTCAAAATGTCAGTGTGGTTAATTCAACATGGTGAAACAATTATTTCAAGAACAAAAGTAATCTTATTGAATATTTAAATTTAAATTATCCGCGACGAAATCAAGAACGACGCCGCGAAATCGCATTTGAATAACTTGAATTTGAAAAAAAAAAATTAAGAAAACCGTTGTGCAAGTTTAGTCCTTTTTCTGGTAGTTGGTAACTCTTCTAGGGAATCTATGGGTAGTAATCTGGTGAGAGAGTTGCTAGTAAAGTTGACTTGTTTTGGTAGAGGACGAAGGTGCGTCAAGAGTTTTTATTAAAATTTTACTCTTGTTCACTGTCATAATTTAAATTTGCCGCCACACACCGCCACCGTAGTAACTTGTGTACTTTAACTTAATTGCAAATAATTCTCCAACTTTTCAGTTTCTTTTAAAATTGATCAATTCTAGAAATCGAGACGATTATTTTAATACACTTGGTATGTTTATTATCGATCATCATCTCTCAATTAAAAAGAGTATTCCAGTTTAGTAGACAGTACTTGAACGCAGAGTATAGACCACATTTAAGACGTTTAATTTTATCAAAAGAGTTAGAAGTTGTGCGTAAATGTGGTTCGCGATGATAATAATATAATAATTCCTAGCGTTTTCTAGTCTGACACCATTCAGAAATTTAGTTTGCTAAAAGAAGGTCTCCGAAAATGAATATTCCACCAAAATCGAGTTGTCACCAAACCAGCAAACCTCCAATGATAAAACCGTTCTTTTTAATAACATTCGGTTTTGTGCAACGTACTCCCACAAAAATGATTTTAAAATTTGTTTTCATATTCTACATTTTATTACTATGTATTTACTTCATCTCACTACTCTTAACGTTTGACAGTACTTTGCTGATACAAAATGCCGCAACAGCAACTCTAACAACAAACGTATGTCAATATCTTGTCGAATATCGTTTACTTAACTCTAAATTTCAGCATCTCTATGTCACTTGGGTAACATTCGCCTTTGAGAAAAAGTTTACTAAAATTTTATCAGAAATAGCATCACAAAAAAATTGGGACGACATGTTTACCACAGAAATCAACAATAGGATCAACACAGAATCCAGAAGAATCACTTTTTTAGAAATATGGACATTAACTTCGTTTCTAATATTCTCTATTGAGAGCTGGCCAGTTTTAAATTTATCTGGGAATGTTATTGGCGGATTTGGATTATTGGAAAACACTTTTGGTCCAGTTTCTAATATTGTTATTTCAGCAATTTATTTAACGTTTCCTGTTGTTGGTTACATTGGATTTATTGGCGGTGGTCTCATAATATACACGATTTATATCATAAAGTTTTATGTGTACTGCATATCTCATCGATTGAAGGAGTTGTCCGAAAAAAACTTATGCGATTATGATGACACGGACGAGTTTCAAAAGGAAGTATTCTCAAATCTGAAAACATGTATACAGTGCCATCAACTTGTGCTAGTGTACGCAGATGTATGTTTGGACGATTATTTTGTTGTGTTAGGTTATGTTATAACTGCCCTTTTATTTCACTAGTTGTCTTTACTATTTGTTTGTGTACGTGATATTTTTATCTAAATATTCATACTTTTAGTGCCGTAAAAAAATTAAACGATGCTATCTATTTCCCGATAATTGTACTTACCACACTTGGAATGATGGTAGTGGTCGGTGCTCTATTCAGCAGTTCTCTAGTAAGTATTTTCTGATCCGTGACGTTAGATTTATAACTAACAATGGTAAAACTTGTAGTACGAAATAGAAACAGCTGGCAACTACATATTTCTCCTTCACTACATAGTAATCTCAAGCACTGTTCCAGCTGTAATCGCTTATGCTGCACAAACATTTTTAAATGAGGTATGGAACTTTAGAAATAGATTCGATGTGACAGATTTTGTTTGTGGGGCAATATTTTTGTTACTATTAACCCTATGGTAATAAATAACCAAGCCAAACGGTACACCAGATATCTTCTCTGTTGATTTAGATTAGTTCGACTGCCTTAGATTGTCTTAACAAAAACATTTATACAACGAATCTATTGCAATAAATCATGATAATCGAGAAGAAATATATTTCTCAACGTACCACATCACTTGAAACACCCAATATCGTGCTTTCGAACTTTATTCGTCATTCTGTTTTTCTGCAGCATGAAGAAATTTACCGCAACCTTATAAACTGCCCATGGTTGGAGTGGAATTCGAGAAATAAAACTATGTTGTTAATATTCTTGCAAAACATTCAGAAGTCCACATACATTGGACACCGAGGAATAATTCGCATTGAGTTTAGTTTCGCACCAAAAGTGAGAAAATAGTAAATTTAAGTTTTTTGTAATGGCGTCTTTTTTAGGTCCTCAAATTTATTTGGAGTGCGACGGTGTTTTTTGTCAAAATTGTGAAAAAATGAAGATAACAAAAATTAAATCTTCTTATTACTGAGATAATTTGGCCACTAAACTGCAGGTCTTTTCAATCTATATTGTACTAGAAATATTCACAGTATTCAAAAAAATAAATTTTGTCTTTTAATTCAACTTCACTTATTTTCTTCCTTGAAGTAATTTATTCAATATTTTTGGTCCAGTTCCAAATGTAGTCAATTTAACATTAATGGTGTGTTGTGCTCAGAGGCGGATCTATAGGCCTTAAATGTAAAAAAAAAATTGTTTCTAATTTGGTTCTTACAAAAATACAATTTCGTCTTCGGCTGACCGTTTGCAAATCTGGTTACTTCCGCCCTTTCCGTTAATTTATGGCAGCCACCTACATCTGGGATACCATAAAGAGTTCCCGGTGCAGATGGGTACAGTGTTTTACAAAACGTTTTGTTTTCACTCCCCCATTTTTTTCTGTTCGTTCAGTAAGTTTAAAAGTGTACTGCTCTACGAATATTACAGTGTGTTAAAAATTAAAAATTCCATAATTCAGTTTGCTTCGAATTATAAATTATCATTTTTGGAATCGACAGTATTTAAAGTATTTAGATAATTATTTTCGTTTTGTTAAATATTAATAATACAATTTATTCATTAGGTATTTGATTAAATAAAATGTCTGAGCGCAAATATCTCAGTGGAAGCCAAAAAAGGAAACTGAAGCTTCAACATGAACAGGAACTAGCAAAATGTCGAAAAGTCACAAGTTTTTTTACACCTCAACCTTCTCCTTTCACTTCAAATAACTCAACTGGTGAAAATGAAGTTATTTTGAAAAGTGTGAAAAATTCTGCTGGAATTTCATGCAACAACTACGCTACCACCGTCACCGATACACTCGATGAAAACATGATTAAAGATGAGGCTAAACAAATCGTAAGTGATATATTTAACGATAAATTTGAAGATATAGCATTATGGCCGAATTTTATCAATAAAAATTTTATCGGAAGTTGCTTATCAAAAGAAAGCTCATTTTTTTTTAAATAAAAGGAAAGACAATATTTACTCTGAGTCTATCAGGAATTATAAGGGACAGAGTAGACAATTACTAACAAATATTTTCTAAAACGTTTAAAAAATGGGCAACAATTAACGAGATCTTGGTTATCCTATTCGAAAAGCAAAGGATGTGTTTTCTGTTTAGTGTGCAAATTATTCTCCAGAACACAAACATCGTTAATGAGTGGTTATTCAGATTGGGAAAACATAGTTCGTACTTTGGACAGTCATGAAGAATCTTGGGATCACAAAAAGGCACTGTTAACCAGGTTATCCCGCAAAGAAAACAAAAACGTTTTTGACAGACATCTTCAGAAAAAAATAAAAAATGACAGTGAATATTATTACAATGTCCTGATGCGAGTTGTGGCAGTTATTAAATTTTTAAATGAAAGAGGATTGTCATTTAGAGGACATAATGAAAAATGGGGTTCATCACACAATGGAAATTTTATGGGATTTATGGAACTTATTGCGGAATTTGATCCTTTTTTGAAACAACATATAGTGAAATGCCAAACCGAACAACTAGTTGCAAGTTACTTGTCTAAAACGGTTTATGAAGAGATAATCGACATAATGGCAACTCAAGTAAGAAAAAAAATTATTGAGGACATAAACGATGCAGATACAAAATATTATTTAATTATTGTGGATTCTACTCCAGATTTGTCACATACGGACCAACTGGCAATTATTTTGAGATACACTTCCCAATGAAAAGTTTTTGAAAGATTTTTATCGTTTATACCAATTGACAGTCACACAGGAAAGAATTTATTTAAAACAATACATTTATTTTTAGAAGAAAATGGTCTTTCAATGAAAAATTGTCGAGGGCAGTCTTATGACAATGCTGCGAATATGAGTGGAAAATATAATGCACGTGTTAAGGAAATTAACAAGTTCGCTGATTATGTACCATGTGCAACTCACTCTTTAAATTTGGTAGGAGTCGAAGTTGCAAGTGTCGTACCCGATGTAATCAGCTACTTTAGGGTTGAACAACAACTGTACGTGTTTTTTTCGGCTTCACCTCACCGGTGGAATTTGTTAAATCAACATGCAAAACTGCCACTTTCAGTTAAAGGTTTGAGTCATACTAGATGGTCTAGTCGATACGACGCTGTTCACGCGTTAAAAACAAGTTATAGCTTAGTTGTAACCCTATTAGAAACTATTATTAATGATAATTTAGAAAAAAATGACTGCAAGATGGAAGCGAAAAAAATATTAGGTAAACTATACAAACTCGAAATCGCTATATTGGCTGTCGTCTGGGAAGAACTTCTTGAAAGGATTAACACAGTCAGTAAAAAGTTACAAGAAGCTGGATTAGATTTGTGCGAAGGCCTTGCACTAACAACATCTGTAGAAATATTTATCAAATTTCTTAGAGAAAAATCTAATGAGAAATTAATTAACTATGA